CGTTCACATTTTATCAAGAGATTGTGGCAGTTCAGTAACATCTTCAAGATCCTCTTCTAATTCTACTTCTCTTGCTATTCCCCCACCACATCTGCAGTTCCTTCCTCCACTGAAGGCTTGAACCCTCAAAGTCATCCATGATGGCTGGAATCACTTTCTTCCAAACTCCTGCTAATGCTGACAATCTGACCTCCTCCCATAAACTCCTGTTAATGCTGACAACTTGACCTCCCCCCATGAATCACAAATGATCTTAATTCTAGAATGGTGAAACCTTTCCAGAAAGTTTTCAATTTACTTTGCCCAGATCCATCAGAGGAATCTCTATCTATGGCAACTATAGCCTTATAAAATGTGTTTCTTAAGTGAAAAGATTTGAAAGTTGAAGTTACTCTTTGGCCCACGGGCTGCAGAACAGATGCATGTAAGCAGGCATGACAACTCCAGATGCATTCTCAACGAGCGGTAAGGAATCTTTTTCTGAGCTGCAGACCTTAACAGTAGGCTTGAAATATTCAGTAAACCGTGCTATAAAAAGATGTGCTGTCATGTAGGCTTTGTCGTTTCATTTCTAGAGCACAGGAAGAGTAGATTTAGCATAACTCCTAAGGGCCCCGGGATTTCTGGAATGGTCAGCGAGCACCGGCTTCAACAACTTCAGTCCCCTGCTTCGTTAGCTCCAGACAAGAGAGTCAGCTTGTTCTTTGCAGCTCTGAAGGAAGGCACTAACTTCTCTCTAGCAATCAAAGTCCTAGATGGCATCTTCCAATGGAAGGGTGTTTCACCTACACTGAAAATCTGTTTTTAGAGTAGCCACCTTCCTCAGTGATCACAGCTAGATCTGGATGACTTGCTGCAGCTTCTCCATCAGCACTTGCTGCTTCATCTTGCACTTTTATGTTACGGAGATGGCTTTTTCCCTTCAATCTCATAAACTAAAAAACCCTGCCAGCTTCAAACTTTTCTTCTGCAGCTTCCTCACCTCTCTCAGCCTTCAAAGTTAGTGTCTTGCTCGAGATTAGGTTTTGGCTTAAAGGAATGCGGTGGCCGGTCTGATCTTCTATCCAGACCACTCGGATTTTCTCCATATTAGCAATAAGGCTGTTTCAATGTATTGCTCCTGTATTAACTGGAATAGCACTTGTAATTTCCTTCAAGAACTTTTCCTATTCAATCACAACTTGACTAACTGGCAGAAAAGGCCTAGATTCTCACGTATCTCAGCTTTTGGTATGCCTTCCTCACTAAGTTTAACCATTTCTAGCTTTTGATTTAAAGTGAGAGACATGTTACTCTTCATTTCACTTGAACACTAATTTCTTTTATTATTATTTCTTCTAAAAAACAAAAAGCGGGATACACGTGTAGAACGTGCAGGTTACACAGGTACACGTGTGGCAGGTTTGTTACACAGGTACACGTGTGCCATGCTGGTATGCAGCACCTAGTGACCCATCCTCTAAGTTCCCGCCCTCACCGCCCCCCCACCCTCCAAAAGGCCCTGGTGTGTGTTGTTCCCCTCTCTGTGTCCATGTGTTCTCACTGTTCAACTCCCACTTATGAGTGAGAACATGTGGTGTTTGGTTTTCTGTTGATTACTAATTTCATTTAAATAGTAAGAAGTCACTGTAAGGCTATTAACTGGCCTAATTTCAATATTGCTGTGATTCAGGAAACAGAGAGGCCTGAGGAGAGGGGGCGCGGCAGGGAACCCTTGGTTGACAGAGCAGTCAGAACATACACAACATTTTTTTATTAAGTTTGTGCACTTCATGGCACCCCAAAACAATTACAATAGTAGCATCAAAGATCACAAGTTACACATCAACGTAACAGATATAATAACCTGAAAAAGTCTGAAATACTGTGAGAATTTCCAAATATGACACAGAGACACAAAGTGAGCGCATGCTGTTGGAAAAATGGTGCCTAAAGACTTGCTCAACGCAGGGTGCCAAAAACCTTCCAACTGTCAAATAACACAGTATCCGTAAAGGACAATAAGGTGACGTGTGCCTGTCCTCCACAAGGAAGCTCAGCACTGGGCAAATGCTGCCCTAGCCAAGACCTTCCAACAACTCCACTCTTAGAGATGAAAAGAACAGGTATCACCAGACACCCGAGGGCACCATCTAAAACAAAAAAGAGACAAACACAAGAAGGAAAAAAGGAAGCTCTAAGAAAAAGTGACAACATAGGAAATAAGAAAATGGGGGGAATATGTACAAAAACAAAGAAGCTATAATGGCCTACAAGATTAGACATAACACATCCATGAAATAAAACAGGATGCCATAAATTCAGAGAAGACAAGCTCTTGAATATTAAAAGTATGAAGGCAGATGTTTTTTAAAATAAGTAGAAAGCTTGTATTTAAAATTGAAGAAGTATCTCAAAAACAAAAACAAAAAGGCAAAAAGACGGAAATTAAGACAGCCAAGAGAAGGAAATCACCAGATCAGGCCAGGCAGAAGTGGGGAGGCAGAAACCTGGAGTGCAATACATGTCCAAAGAAGTCACACAAGACAGAAAGGATGATAAGGGAAGGGCCTGGGAAGTTACATGGTTCACAGAAACTGCCTTAGCCCCAAGAAAAAATCCAGGCTGTCATCTCTGCAGAGGCAAACTCCCAATCTGAGGAACTCCCACCCTCAGTACAAGGGATCTGGGAGAAGAATGGTTCCCCACTACCGTCTCAGCAGCAAAAGAATGTCAAGGGTCAGGAAGAAATACTTAGGAAAGCCTCCACCTTCCGAGTAAAGCAATCACTTCGATAAGTGAATTGGAGTTGGCACCAGGGTGGGATAGCCTGCCTGTGTACCCAACTTCTATGACTCCAGAAGTCAAGCTACCAGTAGATACCTCCAGATCCCCGTACCCCCTGACCACTGAGTGCTGGGCCCAGTTCAACCTGAGATGCAAACAAGCAGCCCAACAGGGCAGTGCCCAGCTGCATCCGCCAGCAAAAGCCAACACTGTTCTCCATCCGAGGAAGGAAGTGGAACTATGAGTGGCATCTGGAAATCC